ATTAAAAATACTTTGACTTGCTTGTATTCAAGGATTAGAAAACATTAATTTGAAGATTTTCTTTGGAAAGTGCTCCATTTATGATCTTGGTTTAATTAATTTTAATGATGAATTTATAAGTCTGTTAAATGAAAATAGTTAGAATGGAAACTTAACTGCATTTTATAACCATCAGCATTATTGTGTGCTATAGCTGTGCTGTTGCAGGAAGGTGATTCTTGCTCAATTCCTAAATAATTTTCTCATTCTAAGCTGATGTTCCAGCTGCTTGCTCCAATTGCTGAATCATTAACTGACTTTGTGATACCATCTTTTTTGCTTCAGAGGTGATTGCAAAAGTGCTACCTTAACAGCATGCCACATCTATCAGTTTGCACTCCAGCCACAAGAAAACATAACCATCACCTAACTGATTCTCATTGGTTCTTTAAACTGCCTGGAAAATGAAAAGAGAATGTTCACGGGCTGCATTAAGAAAATCCCAAACATCATTTGCAGCTGGAAAAAAACCCTAAATTGTCATAATATTAAAGGAAGCTCTATCAAAAATGCAAATGTAGTGACAGTACCAGATGGTATAGCTACAATAATTTTCTTTGAGGATCCCTTTTGAAGCCACACGAAAAAGCTGAGCAAGTGGTTCAGGTGGGAATCTGAACCCACCTTTAGAACTGGAATTCCTGAACCTAAATTTGTGCAAGTTCCAATTCAGTGACATAGTGTAATGAAGAAAATGTCATCGTGCTTGTGCCTGGGTCAGAGAGTCACTGTGCACTGGGACCCCACATCCTGGCATGCAGGGAGGAAGTCAACTTAAGGTTAGGATTCACCACGCTGCTGGGTTAGCTTCCAAATCTGAACTTCAGTACGACTGCCCTTCCCTTCAGAAAGGCCTAATGCTCTAATGTTCTGTAGTTAATGCTAAAATGCTGTGTACAATACCTGCAAATGAAAAATATTTCTGTAGATATATTTTGAAATTATGTGTTCATCTCTGCATATCCTATGGAACACTGAGTTTTTATTGATAGGTTTCTTATGGTTCATATAGAATCACAAATAGAAAAAAAAATCCCTTCCATAGGAAAATAAACAAATAATAAACTGAGATATACATACAAGAAAGCACTCATTTTAAAATCTAATCTTGTAAGTAACTGGCTAAAAAAAAAATGGCTTAGCTGGAATTGTATGTTAAAAATGGAACAACAGACAAGAATACCACAAAGCAATTAAAATAATCTAGTAAAAAAGAAGTTTTTAGTAGGGCAACATCTTGCATACGACTTCAAGATTTGGAGGTTCACTTTCTATATATGTCTTACCTAAAAAAAACAGGCAAAAATTATTATTAGTCACTGCAGTTTTGTGCAGAGGTTGACAGGTTTGGAAAGAATGAATAAGTAAGTATGTTTTGCTTCCACATCATAATGTGAAATCTGTATTGACGTCTGCATGCCCACTAATCTTCCTTTATGTGCAATTACCTGTAATTTGGACACCGACTGTATTTGGCAAGCAGCAACATCTTAAGACATCTCCAGACAAAAATATTCAGCTTTTTTATCTGCATTTGGTCATCATGGTCTGTTTTATAAATCTACTGCATGTGTTTACAGCTTTTTTTACTTTTGCTCTGTACCACCAAATGCTTTTACTGATAGAGTGTTTCATATATGGATGCTTTTCAATTTATCTGGTATGTGTCAGCAAAAATACATGTGGGCCTTGCAGGTCTTGAGTGACAGATAAGGTAAGAAATATGATAAGAAGACAGAGAAAATTGATGTTGCAATACATGCTTTTTTGTGTGGTACACTAATAGTTATTTAGTAATGGGGAGGCAGAAGAGAATATTTGACAAGTTTGTCATTTAATAAGGCACAAGTAATCCTCATGCCAGGTCACAGCTCTTTATAAAGATACTTAGATTGGTCAGGCATAGCTGGAGGAAACTATTTGTTGAAACTTTCTGCTAAAAGCTATAGAAAGGTGAAATCCCAAGGGAGAATAAAATGCTCACTTTAAACAGTATTTGTTAAGGACAAACATAAGCTGAAACAGCTTGAAAGAAAAGCCATGGCATGATTTGAGCCATGCTCTGTCCTCTTCCTAACTCCAGCCTTAACATCATAGAATCATAGAATCACAGAATGGCCTAGGTTGGAAGGGACCTTAGAGATCATCCAGTTCAACCTCACTGTCATGGGCAGGGATACCCTTAACTAGACCAGGTTGCTCAAGGCCTCATCCAACCTGGCCTTGAACACCTCAAGAGAGAGGGCATCCACAACTTCCTTGGACAAGTTATTCCAGAGTCTTGCTATCCCTCTGTTGAAGAATTTTTTTTCCCAAGATCCAATCTAAATCTATTCTCCTTTAACTTAAACCCATTTCCCCTTATCCTAGCAGTGGACACTTTCGTAAAAAGTCCCTTCTCAGCCTTCCTGGAGGTTCCCTTTAGGTGTTGGAAGGCAGTTATAAGGTCCCTCCAGAGTCTTCTCTTTTTCAAGACTGAACAATCCCAGTTCCCTCAGCCTGTCCTCATAGCAGAGGTGCTCCAGCCCCTGGATCATCCTTGTGGCCCTCCTCTGAACTCATTCCAACAGATCTATGTCCCTCCTATGGTGGGGAGGCCAGAACTGGACGCAGTATTTGAAGTGGGGTCTCAAAAGAGCAGAGTAAAGGGGGAGAATCACTTCTCCTGATTTGTGTACCACGCTTCTCTTGATACATCCCAGGATGCGGTTGGCCTTCTGGGCTGCATAAGCGCACTGCCAGCTCATGTTCAGCTTCTCATCTATCAACACCGCCAAAATCCTTCTCTTCAGGGCTACTGTCAACCCACTCTGTGCCCACTTTGTATTTGTGCCTGGGATTGGCCTAACCCAGGCGCAGGACCTTGCATTTTGACTTGTTGAAGCTCATGCAGTTTGCACTGGCCCATTTCTCAAGCCTGTCAAGGTCCCTCTGGATGGCATCTCTTCCCTCAAGTGAGTCCACGGCACCACAAAGCTTGGTGTCGTCGGCAAACTTACTGAGGGTGCACTCAGTGCCGTCATCCATGTCACTGACAAAGATGTTGAACAGCACTGGACCCAGAACACTGTTCAACAAAGATGCTGCACAGCCCTTGTACTGCTGCTGTGGGATAGGTTGGGAAAATCTGTCATTCTTCAACATAGTATCTGCACAAAGGGAAATCCTCCTCTGACTAATGAAAGGGCTCTTTCAATCATTTATGCAATCAGAGTTGGGCTTCCTAGGGCTCGTTCTTTTGTGAACTGCATCTCCAGCATCCTCCTTCACAGAGCAGAAGATGGAAAATGATTTAGTAAAAACCTTTGTGGAAACTACTTAGCAGAGAAAAGCATTGCTTTGGCAGCAGGATAATACTTCCAGATATTCTTGAGTGTGCTATGCATTATATTCTTGAACTATGAGGAAGTTTTAGATAAAATCATCATAAGGGGAGTATTTTATAATACTATCCGTTATTTGAATGGGAAGGATAAGACCCACCATATCAGCACACTAGATCTTCTCCCACAAGATATAGGGCGGTCAGTCTGTTCACGGGCAGAGATTTCAATTTTATAACTGGGAATGTTTTTTGAGTGATTTATTGAAATCAAGTAAAAATAAATATTACAGGGAGGTGCAGGCTGTGGCTACCTGATGGCTCTAAGCAGGTACAGCGCCGCCATCAAAGCTAGTTAAATGCTGAACTGTATGGGGTGCTAGTAATCCAAATAGACAAGATTGCATTTTGCTCCTAAAGGTAATGCATATTACCTAAAGGTAGTAGCACATTCTCTAATGAGATACTTTGTACTGTAACAGAGAAAAACAGAGACTGAGGTCTGGATTTCTTATTTCAAGTTGTGTGTGACTTTTGCAAGGTATACCATAAACGAAGCAGTTTGTTTCAGACAGTGGAAAAATCTGGATCCAGAGCTCTATTAGGGGAAGATTTTAATCTCACAATTTAGTCAGCACAGTTTTTGCCACCATCACTAATCCCATTACTGTATCATGCATCGCACTGTCTGCACTGATGCTCTTTTAAGGCAAATCCTTCTCACTGTCTAGCCACCTGTCAGGCAGGCAGCCTCTTTGCTCTGCTGCTGTTACTGCAGCAAACCTTGTCCTGTGGTGCTGAAACCAAGAATATCTCCCCCTTAAAGCAAGAAATTTATTCCTTTATTCATACCACATTTTCATTATTAAGCAAAAATATGATTCATAAAATATTACCCTATGGCAATACACAGACTTCAATATTCATGCCATTTTATTAAAAAAAAAATCCTCTAAACCAGAAAAGATTAAACTCAAGCATGAATAAATACTAGTGTCTTCCCGGAAGCTACATCTGTGCCCTTTGTCTCCCGTCTTTTGACATCCCACGAATATCTCCAGAAAGTTATAAAACATTTTCTCTTGAGCAAAAAGCCCCTTGTGGATACGGATGTGTTCAGTAGTCTCTGAGAAATGTCTAGAGGTCTTGTAATTTCTCACTAACACAGCTCCAAGCTGGCTGTATTCCACAACCAGATTTTACCCAATAATTAGAAAGTTGCTCAAATCATTGTTACTCGGTCCTTCTGCCTCAGAAGACATCCCTTCTGTGAGATTCTGTGTGTTCTGCTGACTGATAAGAAAACGTGCATTCAAATTGGTCCTGCTTGTAAAAACTACGACTGACAACACTGTGCAATTTTAGAACCATAAGCCTCAGGTTATTCCTAGGTTCTTTTGAATCAGCATGAAACTCACTTCTATACTGAGATGTCCAACCCTGTATTTTTAAGCTTCCATTTTATTCTTGGCAATCTTATCTCTGGAAAGCAGCATAACTGCAGCAATTGTACATCTTATTTCAGAAAAATAAAGAAACATTCATTTTCCATTTTAATGATTTACTGGAAACTAGTTCACAGGGAACGAAGAGACTGATCATGAATGAAAATGAAAACCAGCAAGACCCAATTACTCACCCGTGCTAGGCTGGTTCCAGAAGGGACTTTGTATGGGACGTACTTCCTGTAGATATGTCCAACTCGAGAGCACGGAACATCAAACATGCCTCCTCCGCACATCCACACCTGTAAAAAAGGCATTTTAAGTAATGGGTATGTGAAAACCACGAATCACCCTGTACTGACCCCTCCCACAGTCATAGTGGTGGCCTTCTCAGCATGCCAATAGCTGGGCTTAGGTAATGTGGCAGACTCTCCTACTTGGAATTGCTCATGCAAAGGTAGAGCATATTCAAAATAAAACCATAAAACATATTTAGATTATCTACCAGCGGTCGTCTTGCAATGCATCCAAGATGTTATTGTGGCAGTTGTTTAAAACACACAGAATCAAAATTTCAAAAGAAGGCTATGTCAGCAAAACCAGCCATCAATGAGAAGTATTCTTTTCTTCCAAAACACCTGGCTTGTGCTTTGAATTGTGAATACAAAGCTCAAACATTAAGATGCTCTTCAGTTTGTAAAGGAAAAAGAACAAAAATCTATTCCTGTCTGATCAAATTTACGTAGTCAGGGGAAGAAGAGGATGGCACTATGTTTCATCGTGAATAGTTTAGTACTAAAACAGATGGAACCATCTGGAGTACACAGGTTTGATGCTTCAGGTCTGAGCAACTAAAACTCAGTCAAAACTGATGGGAGCTGCAAAAGTACTTCACAGCTCTAAAAAATCAAGCTGTGTCCTGATGGGCAGCAAATAAGGAATTTTTTGCAATTCTTCAGCCAGCATGTCTAGGTTTTACTGAGTGTACTTGAGAGCAAGGTTGTGTGCCATTCCAGAGGAACTATGGCAGTCATGCCAACCAATGGGTGTGATTTTCTATGCTCTTGCAATGCAGAGTCACCAAACTCCAACAGGGCTATTAGACAAAAGTTATTCATAACTTTCTGATTTCAAAAAAACAATTTGACTCTACAAATCAGGGAAATGGAGAACAACAAGAAAACCACACCTAGAATCTCCAAGTGGAACTTTTTAAGCATCCTGAAACTAAACACACAGCAAGAGTTGAAATTAGAGTGAAAACATCGGTATTATAAAAATTATTTCCTAATCCTGGCAAAACAATATTTTATTCCCCATAAGTTTAGAACAGAATGCTATTCCTTGTAAGGGACACTTGTGGTCTCAGTTTTCAGCCTTTAGACTGAAAAGAAAAAAAACACACCAACCCTCTCCCACCCAATTTAGAAGAAAACCACATCGAGCTAAGAAAGAGAGAGGGCTTATCCTTTCCATATCTCTTTACATACGCATCATAAAGATGCTTCATGAAACACCTCCATGAATCTGGATGAGAATTCAGGTCCGTGTATTACATATATGAAGGCATTTTATTTGTATTTGATGCACTCTGGGGTGAAATGGCATAAAACAAGTGTGCAATCGAGGCTAAGGCAAACATAGACAACTGGAATTGACCTATGAGTTTATAGGATCTGAATTAAAACAGTAAGCAGCCCCTTAAAACAAGGTAATGAAAAATATGATCCCATCACGAGTTCTTGACGTTCTGTATGAAGCCTGCAGAAAACAACGTGCATCTCTACACTTTTTTACTGTGTGTTTCTTACTCTATCTCTTTCGTCCTGCTCACTAGCTGGCTCTAGCTACTGGGTTTTTAAAATCTCAGGAAAACAAAATGATTAATGCCTTTCATTTAAAACAATAGTGCAAACAGGCAATAATTTGGTACCTTTTGCTGTGACTGCCTGTTTGTATTACGGTAGGTAAGTCTGCTTGGTCCTGGCAGTGTGGCCGTGAGCTTGGGATGAAATTTTAGTAATCTGAACATGCAGATACTAAACACTGCAATAACTTAGGGCTTGAGCATGACTTAAAGTGCTTGCTGAAGGCAGTAGGCTGGAATTCATCCCCTGAGACTGATATTCATACTGTGAATAGAGAAAAAGGGGTTTAAGAGGGAATGCTTGAGGTGCAAAGTGATTTAGGAAGCTGCTTCTTATGGGTCATTTGTGTATTAGCCCTGACAGTCCTTTAGCTGTTAGTCATGGCACCCAGCTGAGACCTGGCAATGAAATGTTTGAAGATCTACAACTCATTGCAGGGCAAACCCAAATACGCTAGAGTAAATGTTTAAGAAAAGGTTGAAATCACTGAAAGACAGGCAAGATCGTGTGCTTGGCTTTGTTCTGAAATTCCATGGACACCCTTGAGCAGTCAGATAAAGCTGAGAGCTACTCAAGGAACTCACCGCCTCCCAACACAGAGCTGACTAAGGCACAGGAGCTCTAGTTAGGTGCTTCTGCTACACGACAACATCTCAGTAGAGGACACAAATTTTGTGGGCTAGGGGCATAAGGTAATAAATGCAGCTGTCCTGGGCATCACTCTGCTAAATGCAAGCATGTAAGCTGACAGAATCCAAAGTATTTCATTATCTACTTCTTTGGTGAGGGTGTCCTGTTTGGTCTCCTAGTGAGCATAATAATCCTTCTCAGGGAGGAAACTCACTGGTGGGTTGGAATTAGAGGCCCAAATGTATGCTCTGCCTCCATGTCAAAATAGCTCACTCCTAATTTACTGGAAAACATGTTCATAACCATATTAAAAAAATTATAAAAATGACAGTTTTTTAAAAAGTTGGTTGATGCCATTGTTAAAAAAAAGTTACACACCTTTCTACCAATACTGCATTTATATGGTACATCACTTGTATCTGATTTAGAGGGAACCTCCTCTCTGTAGCTGCCTTCAAACAGTCCAGTGAAAACGTAGACCTATATTTCCTATTCATTCTTGGTTTCTAAATTAAGGTGTTATTTCAAAGGCTAGAGAAGATTTTACAGTGATTATTCAAAGTTTCTTAGCCTTTGGAGAATGGACAGCATAGTAGCTTGTCTCAGATGAAGGTCAGCCACACAACAGATTTAGAAGACAAGAAAGCAGAAATATATGTATATAGGCCAGTACTACTTTAACACAGACAATGAGAGCTGCAGGAGACATATACTGAATTTCTACTAAAGCAATAGGATACCAGTAAAAAAAATAAGAGAAAAGGAATTAGAAAAAAACCTTGTCAGATACGCTGAGACAATAACAAGTAGGAGGAAATAACAGTTTGTGTTAGGCTTACGCTTGATAGATATAAAACGCGAAAATGCTGTGCTGCACCTGAGGTGTGCTGTGCAGGGTAATTGAAATGAATTTGGGGCTGTCTTGAAGGACATTTAGCAGCTGTTTCTATTTATCTTTCAGCTTCAGAATGATTTTAAAAGCATTTTTTATATTTTCCTGGGAAGATTGATTCTGGCAACTTTGTCTTTAAAATGTGCACTTTTATGTTACATGCCCTAAATGTAAGAAATTGGAGAATGACTTCTGTGTTAAATATTACAGACCTCCAGTGTACCCTGAAAGGAATTCAGGTGGCATGGGCCATTTGGAAAAATGGTATCACAGCACTGATGCCTCGCTGTTTATCTAAGAAGCAAGCAATGAAACTCTCAGATTGCTACTGTCTCCTTCTTACAAAAGCAACGTATCTGGTCCACAGCTGAGGTATAAAAACTAAAGATGAAGCCAAAACAATGTAATTTCAGCTTGGAAAGATCAAAAGAAGAGCAGTTTATGTGTCAACTAGATACTACATCACAATTTATCTTTATATAGCTCCTTCCAACAGAATGTTGCAAAACACTTTATAGGGATGGTTGAAAGCAAAAGGCAGGCATTAATGTACAGCTTTAAAAGAAACGAAACTGCGGTTATATGGTTTTGTTCCGGACCGGAGCTTCGATGTCACAGATGCACTTTTTGGCTCTGTTCTACAGCTCTTGTGGGATTTTTGTGTGATTCACCCTCTTTTCACGTCACTTCTTTGTCTCTAAAATAGAATTCTGCCTTTTTTTTTTTTTTTTTTCTTTTCCCTGCCCTTAACTCTCTAGCTTATGAGTGATCCAGCCTGGGGACTATCTGGAAAATGTAAATACTGTGCACAGGAGAAAGAGACTCCAATCCATATGCTACACTGTAATCATAATTACTGCAGTAAGAGACTTACGATTTTTGAGCACTGGAGGACGTGTTGCTGTGGAACAGGAACATAAACACACCGCAAATTATGTAAGACTGAAGGGGGAGTGAATGCGTTTTGGATCAGGCTTCAAAACTAATTGAGAAATATACTGCTGCTGAGAGTCAGTAACAAAGCAGACAAGAGTGAGAGACATGGAAATTGATGGAAAAAAACCCAGAAAACTGGTGGAAGAAGAATATAAAGCACGTCATGCAAAGCTGGTGCTCTCAGCTTTGTGCAAGAAAGATAGACTGCAAACAGGAGAAATGTATTACCACAACGAGGCTGAAGAAGTTGTAGAAAATAAGCATATAAAAACTTTATGGGATTTTTCAGTCACTGTTCCTGAAATATAAGCCAAACCAACAGATTTAGCAGTTGTAGAAAAATGGAAGGAAGAATACTTTCCTGTAAACTTTTCCATGTAGTTAGAATGTTCAAGAAAAAAAATTGAAAAATAGGATCACTGACTGCAAATCTGCAGTGAATGGGTTCACAAACAGCAAAACCATTTATTTGTGGAGCAGAGGGATTTCCTGTCAGGGATATTAAAACAATACTGTGTAAAGCAGGAACTGGGAACTGATGACTCTGGGTATTTCAATAATACTCACCAGCACCTCTAAAATGCTGAGAAAAGTGGCAATATTCCATGTTTGTCAGTTCTTCATATAGTTTACAACTGCACTGACATCTCCCCCACACCCTATCTCCTGCCAAGGTTGCCAGCAGTGAGGGAATAAATTATGATGATAAAGAGATTAATGACCTCGAACTTGGAGGTGTGTGTTAGAAAACAGAGATAAAAATATGGAAGATGTGTCAGGATGGATAAGAATAAAACAACTTTAGATACAGGTGACTAGCTTCAAAGAGGCAAGGGTATCATTTTTGTTAAGGTCTGATTTACGACGCCTAAAAAATGCCCAGTGTTAAAGGATTGCAGTGGGTTTTCATAGCAATGTTTTTGTAGCAGCGGGGCTGCAGGATTAGCTTCTGTGAGAAGCTGCTAGAAACCTCCTCTGTCTCCAATGGTGCCAATGCCAGCTGGCTTCAAGATGAACCCACCACTAGTCAAGGCTGAGCCCATCAGCACCAGTGGTAGCACCTCCGGGATAACAGATTTAAGAAGGGGGGGGAAAAAAAGATGCATAACAGCTGTTGCAGCCAGAGAGAGAAGTAAGTATTCGAGAGAAACAACTCTGCAGACAACCAGGTCAGTGAACAAGAAGGGGCAGGAGGTGCTCCAGGCATCAGAGCAGAGATTTCCCTGCAGCCTGTAGCGAAGACCACAGTAAGGCACGCTGTGTCCCTGCAGCCCACAGAGATTAACGGTGCAGCAGATGTCCGCCTGCAGCCCATGGAGGGCCCTATGCTGGAGCAGGTGGATGCCTGAAGGAGGCTGTGACCCCATGGAAAGCCCATGCTGGAGCAGGCTCCTGGCAGGACCCATGGAGGGAGGAGCCCATGCTTGGAGCAGCTTGCTGGCAGTACTTGTGACCCCATGGTAGACCCATGATGGAGCAGTCTGTTCCTGAAGGACTGTACCCTATGGAAAGGACTCATGCTGGAGAAATTAATTAAAAACTGTAGCTCATGGGACAAACTCATGTTGGAGAAGTTTGTAGAGAACTGTCTTATGAGGAGGGACCCCATGCTGAAACAGGGGAAGAGTGTCAGGAGGACTGACAAACTGACCACAACCCCCAGTCTCTGTCCTCCTATGCTGCTTGGTGGGAGGAGGTAAAGAAAAGGAAGTAGAGAAAAATTAAGCCTGGAAAGAAGGGAGGGGTGGTGGGAAGATGCTTTAGGATTTGGTTTTATTTTCTCATTACCCTAAGCTGATTTAACTCGTAAAAAGTTAACTTTTCCTCACTGAGTCTGTTTTGCCTGTGATGGTAACTGCTGAATGATCTCCCTGTCCTTATCTTGACTCATGAGCCATTTGTTGTATTTTGTCTCCCATGCCCAGCTGAGGATAGGGAGTGACAGAGTCACTTTGGTGGGCAACTGGCATTGGTGACCAGCCAGGGTCAACCCACCACAAGGATCTTCGGCAAACACAGGAAATTAGTATGCTTCACTACTCTATATTTTGGAGATTATTATATAAACTCTGCCTTTCTGACAGATTTAAATTTAGGATTTCCTAAATAGTGTCTTCCCTGATTATTGAGAAGAGATGTTATTAATGAGGTCAGTTCCAGCGCTTTGCCATCCTTCACAAGTCTAGCACACACTGAACAGTACTGTCAGCAAGATATCATACAACTTTTTAATTAAAAAATTGATCCTGAGGTTATGTTGCCAAAAAATTAAAATGCTGCACATTATTTCTTATGTAAAAATTAATCTAAAAAACTAATGAAGAAGTCCTATTTTGACACACGGGTTGTGGCTGCCTCACCATCCACTGAATGTGTATGAGTGTGCTCTGATTTGGAAACAGCAATTAATCACAGCACGGCATCCTGTGCTACGCTTGCTGCTATCCTCTGCAGCAATATTAGCAAGCAAGAGAAGAACAAAAGAGGAATATGTTGGGCTTTGTATTCAAGGAAATAAAGGTCAAGAATATTTTTAAGCAGCAGCTTTTTTTTTCTTTTTTTTTAACCTGTCTCTCCATGCTCCTGACAACTCACCACCTGGAATTGCCATGCCTCAAGTTTGAGGAAGTTTCCTTTCCTGCCATGGCACAATTCTAAATGTCACAAAAACATAAAATATACTGTATTTTGGAGAAACTTATTGAATTATACTACAGTGAATTCAGATTCACTGCAGACTCACTCTCTGTGGCATCTTTCTTTTTCTATTAAACACTCTTCCCTCCCGAACACATATACACACAAACATATTTCTGCTCGCATCACCCCTTCTGTCCCTGCACAACGAGGAAAGGCAACTCCTCCCCCAGAAAAAGACCTTTGGTTAAGACTGGGCTCTACACTGAAGCCTAGTGTCTGTCACTCCAGGTTGTATCTAGTGAAACAGCCAGAGAAAACCATCAAAATTGACACTTTCCCTCCAAGCTTCCCAGCCTGAGTACCTTTCCTAAATCTAATTCGACCTCCTCTTGTCAGGAACTGCTGCCCGACTCCCCAGGCAACCACTTATCCTGCTAAACTAATTTTTAATCAGTCCTTGAACTCTGTCTTAGCGTCTTGAACTCATAAAGCAATATGGCTTTGCTATTATTAGTGATTCCTTTGAGCCTGCATGATGGCCCTTGATCCAGCACTAGACCAATTCACTGCATGTCTGGGGTTTGCAAAGTGCAACAGAAGATTACAGTGAGCAGAGTAGTTGATATTAAGTTCATGATGAAGCAGCTAATAATTCCTTAAGTCAGAAGACTTTAGATAAACTATTTTATTGAGTCTTGACTGGCACAGACCAGGCCATCATACTAAGACCCAGCACACTAGTCATCTAAAAGATCTATTTTCTCTGACTCTCTAAGCTCACACTTTGCACTCATGGCTTCCCACTTGCTTTCTAACAAACTCTTGAGTTGTGGAGATGACTGTGGATGTCTCTGGTACAGTAATGCACAGGCTTTTGGTTGAGAAGATGTTTTTCCTTAATAGGAACTTGATTGTTAAGTAATCTTCCCTGTAGAAAAAGTGTGAATGTTTCCATGGAGTGAAGTTGCACAGGTAAGACACTCCAAATAGTTATCTGCCAACGTAAACAACACTACTGTGAGAGAGGGTATCAACACAGGGCACCCAAGCTATGACACTTTCACAGGCCGTAGATGTGGACACTCTAAGAAAAGGTAAGATGTAATTTCAGACCCACTCAAGCAGTCAAGGAAATCAAACCATGCTGGTCGTCTGGAATTTTCACTGACTTTGTGAATAACAGAAAGATGGCAACTGCACCACCTTCCAAGTTTTGTGAATAAAACCAGTAAATTAAAATCTCTGGCTAACTTATCCTCATTTAAACACATTTTAAGATGACTGAATCTATAGCTACAGTAGAAACTATTGAAACATAAACCTTTCCAAGCTGATATCGGTGATTCTAGTTTTAATTAAAACCAATCCTTTCTTTTTCTCCCTTTCACTTCCATAATTTTTTTTTGTCATTCCAAACCAAACAGCAGTCTTCTTTTTAAAACTTACATGTGTTAATTTTTTCCAATAGAAAGTTGTTCTTATTTGCCAGTCATTTCTAGAGAGTTTTTTTAACCCTTTTAACACTAATAAGACAGGACATGGAATCTAAAGTCAGTATATATTAATGAGATGAAACAGGAGATATCACTGAAATGAGACCCACTGTCACATAGCTGCCTCCAAAAAAATCTGTCACTTGAGCAAAACACACTGGGACAATCGAGTGTCTCAATTTCCAGTGCTGTTGCCATGGTTTCTATACAAAGACTGGAGAGCATTACAAGTATATACTTTGAGATGACAAATAAAAGGAATACGTGAAATAGGACAATAAAATGAGTGACCTGTCAGAGACCATTGTGACAGCTACTAGTGACTACTTACATTTGCCTCTGAAACAACCTAAACGGACAGAAGGTATATCAATATATTCTAAATACACTGTCTAGCTATTAGGTTTCCCCTGCCTTCCTATTTTATTTTGCTGGAGTATAAAAATGATTTGGAGAAACATGAGAGTAGCACAGTTAATACAAACCATTTTGCTATTTTGGATAACTCCTGTAAAGACAGTCTGGCAGGCCAGTGCTGGGTCACGCTGTGTGTTTCCTTCAACAGATCGGCCTCACCTCTGTTGTTTTAATCACTGTTGAAACTTAGATTCAACAAAATGTATGATATTAGTCATGTCTGAGATACCAAATTTATTTACTAAGTTTTACAGTGTCAGAGTTCAGAAGTAGGTTGAAAAGATCCTGAAGAAAAAGGTGTATTTTAATTTCAGTTCCCAGTCTTATCCAAATATGCTTGACTCATTGCATCTGCATCATGAAATTCTATCAAGTCACTGAAAATCTTTGCATGGAGAGGCCATGAGGTGAAGTTCTTATGTCTTTGGGTATCCTGGGACACAATAAATTCAGTCTTCAAAATTAGATATGTTAGTCCTCAGGAAACTAACGCAAATACCTATTTTACATGTGGAAAGTAATAAGACTTTCAACGACGTATAAAAGCCAAGTAACTCATTTGAATACACACGTCCACATAGAATAAGAGGATATACTGTGGCTGGTTGTACATAACCTGAACACTTGAAAACTCCCCATATATTTTGTCCTTACAATAATTCAAATGCAATTAAAAAATCATCTGACTTTGAAAAGCTGACCTGTAGATAATAGCTCGTAGCAGCTCACTACTACTGAAAGGGGTCCCACTTCCCTGAGCTGATCACAAGGAAGCCCACCCCCAGGAAATGATGGAACTGGACAGATAATTATACAATTTTAATTTTTTCTGGATTAGTTCTCGGTTGGCTTACTGAGTTGATCTCAACACCTGAAGTAAATGCAACATCTAAGACAAGTTAAGTGGAGAAGACGACAAAAGTAACAAGGTAGAACTTCATTCTTTAATGGTGGTAAGATAACCACATTTTGGAAGGAACTGCTCTCAGTGTGACTTTTGTATTGCTTCTGGAGCATATGCTAATAGCATAATTCTCTGTGAAATAAGTGGGAATTCATAAAGAAAAAAGTAGTAATTAAACTAATTTTAGTTAAAAGACAAAAGCCAGTATAAATGAAAGCATCGTGATTACATGATTGTTGCACCAAAACAAGTACGGAAATATTGTATAAAGTGACTTGATGACTTACCTTAAAAGAGATTTCATACTGCTCTCCTCCCCATATTTCTAACCCTGGATCATAGCCTCCCAGCTCCCAAAACCATTTCCGGTTAACGGCAAAGAGACCTCCAGCCATTACAGGAGACCTGAAGGATGAATAGAACAAGACAAATAATAGTGAATATATTTGGACCATGTGTGTATATGCCTCTGTGTGTGTATGTGTGTGTGTAAACGTAGTGGTCTGGCTTCCACAATTGTCTGGGGCTATGGAAGCAGATGACATCATCCCTGAAGAACAAACTGGAAAATAAAAACTTGCCCCACTGCCACTGATTTAGGATTTGGCAGCGAACTCAGGACTGGTAGGTATCACAGGAACCCATGCATAAGTTAGAAGTTTATTAAAGAGGACATAAAGTTAATGGAACAACATTATGCCATATTTTCTGTCGTAACCCTTTTTATACTGCTATATTTTATCCAAGCCTGTGGAGAAGATAAAATAGCAAGCAGACAGCTGAGTGGCCTCTGCCATCTTTAGAATGCCAGCAAATCCTCACACATGTGAATGTTAAAAAACGATCCTCTCACCTGCATTCACAGCAACGAAAAACATTATGGGTATTTTATCTTTCACTTCTATAAACCAGCTTTATTTAAAAAATATGTATTTCAGATTATATCTTATCTTAAACTATCCACTTGCACAACTAGTAAACCTTTTTAACAGCCTAATTTTATTTTCTTTTAGAGACAGTATTTTTAAAACCACATAGAAGTTTTGTGAAACAAAGCTGCAATATTCTAACTGGCGAGGCCGTGCACTGTAACAGACACTGAATGTTAATATGTTTTTTTTTACTTTTATTGACATTTTACACGTTAAATATTGACCATTCTTTCCACATATGAATAAATTCAATGGAGATTTTATTAGAAACCTTCCCCTGGGGATTCTGACTACTAAAATACATTTTCAATTCCTATCGAAGTAACTCTAATTACAACATGCCCTTTGTGACTTCAGGTTCTAAATAATCGAAAGACAATGTCCTTTTTAGAAAGACGGACTGGCACAGAAAATGCTTAAAACTAGTTACTGGCAGAAGAAATTAAGTTCCAGCAATCACTGGGGAAAACAGGATTTCTCTAATTCTCTTAGGTACAATATCCTTCATGAATGTTTTTCTTGACACAGTGAATGGCCTATGAAAAAGGTAATCCCTGCAGATGAATCACACAGAAGATGAACTTCAAACTGCAAAATAATTGGCAGCTACTTACAAATGATACTGACAACAATGTGCATAGAAATCACAAGTTATTTAAATGTCAAAGTTCAGAACGTTTATTACAGTTAGCAAAACTACCAAACAATGACTGGAACAACAGCAAACTCATAGCTCTTGCACTTAAACAAAAAAGAAAGGAGAAAATAAGAAATTGCATGTAGCTTTGCTCCATTTATTCTTATTCCACAACATGTTCTGACATTTGTTGTTTTGCAGGAAGAGCAATGGAGAGGACAAACAGGACGGCTTTTTGGTTTTCACTGGAGTGGGATGAGCAAAGAGCTGTGTGAATGTGATCACTTGGCATGGGATATTTACTCCACTCCATGCCACAGGCAGCTGCTGCTGAACAGGCCTTAAATTGTCTCCAAAATATGAAGATTAGAGTCCAGTCCTACAATCATGACTGATATAAAAAGTCCTTTTGCTGTCAGTAAGATCACTTATACAGATAAGAACTGCAGCCCAGAAAGCCAGTCGTGTCCTGGGCTGCATCAAGAGGTGCGTGGTCAGCAGGTCGAAGGAGGTGATTCTCCCTCTCCACTCCAATCTCATGAGACCCCACCTGGAATACTGCATCCAGTTCTGGAGCCCACAGTACAAGAAAGGTATGGACACGCTGGAGCGCGTCCAGAGAAGGGCCACGAGGATGATCAGAGGGCTGGAGCACCTCTCCTATGAAGACAGACTAAGAGAGTTGGGGATGTTCCGTCTGCAGAAAAGAGGGCTCCAAGGAGACCTTATTGTGGCCTTGCAGTATTTCAAGGGGGCTACAAGAAAGCTGGGGAGGGGCTTCTTAGGATGTCGGGTAGTGATAGGACTAGAGGGAATGGATTGAAGCCAGAGATGGATCAGTTCAGGTTGGACGTTAGGAAGAAGTTCTTCCCCATGAGGGTGGTGAGATCCTGGCACAGGTTGCCCAGAGAGGTGGTGGAAGCCCCATCCCTGGAAGTTTTTAAGGCCAGGCTGGATGGGGCTCTGAGCAGCCTGATCTAGTGGGGCATGTCCCTGCCCATGGTGGAGAGGATTGGAACTAGCTGATCTTTAAGGTCCCTTCCAACCCTGACAATTCTATGATTCTATGAAAGAGAACTAAGCTCTTGTTAATGGCTTCTGTATAGAAATGTCAAATACAAAGCTATGTTTGTAGAAGGACAAGAGGAAATGGACTCAAGTTGTGCCAGGGGAGGTTTAGGTTGGATATTAAGAAAAATTTCTTCACCAAAAGGGTTGTCAAGCATTGGAACAGGCTTTCAAGGGAAGTGGGAGAGTCACCATCCCTGGAGGTATTTAAAAGACTTGTAGATGTGGTGCTTAGGGACACAGTTTAGTGGTGGATGTTAGGTGAGTGGTTGTACTAATGATCTTAAAGGTCTTTTCCAACCTAGATGATTCCATGATTCTAAGTAACTGTTTCATGAAATGTCCTACTCAGACACTCAATCAGATTTGAGCTACTGTGACATAATATTACGTAATCACAGTGGGAAGCTGTAAAATACTTAAGAGTCAAAAACTTAAAAGGACAAAGACTCCTGAAACATCAGAAAAGCTGGAAGGCTAAGGCTGCTAAACTTAAAGGAGTTACAAAGAACTTCTATATGTGAGGTATTGCACAGACTCACTGACTATACCTGAAAGAGCAATATAGCACAACTAAAAGCCAGATGATCCAAAAGTGGCCCATGAGGTCACAGATTCCTGTGCCAAGACAGAAAAAGAGTTTGATTTAGTAAGACTGAAAAAAACCCTCACGCCAACACAAGCCAGCAAAGAGTTTTGTAACTTCTCATGATTTACATGCAGAGGAAGAAAAGAAATCATCTACAAATTTTCAAGGTATGATAAAGAGTGACACGGACCTAGAAGGAGTGTGAAGTTACTTGCGTTAGAAATTTATGTGGTGTATTGCAAACAAATGAACTGCACAGCAGGGTTTGGAGTCACTGCATTGCAAGAGTGTTATATGCAGTGGTCCTAGAGGAGTCGTGAAGATGTGAAAG